CAACGGCCGCGCCGCATGATGCAACGCGGCGGCCACGCGCGAGCGGGGCGCGAGCCGAGCCCCCGGCAGCGGCGGCCGCACGTACCGAGCGGGGGGCTCCCCGCGCTCACGGTGAGGCTCAGCGCCGCCATCCCGATCCCAGTCCCGATCCCGATCCCGATCCGGATCCCGCCGCCGGAGCGCGCAGAGCAGAGGGCGGGGCGCGGCACCGCCAGCTCACGTGGCGCCGCCCCTTCCTCCTGCCGCGGGGAGGGGGAAGGGGAAAGGCCGCGCACCGCGGCCGTCACTTCCGGGATTGGGAGGCGGGTCGGCGCGAGGTGGCGGCGCCCGCCCCAGCGCTCCCCGCGGGCGCGAGGCCGCGCGCGGCGGTTCCGCCCCGCAGCGGGGCCGCGCGGCGCGTGGCGGGGGGGGAGGGGGGAGGTTAAAGCCACAAAAATGGCGCCCGTCCTGGGGATGGGTGACAGGAATCCCGCGTCCTTCCCGGGAGCGGGCCCAGGTTCACATTGTTGCAAGGACAATGCGGTGTCACAGTGCCGCCTCCTGCACAGCCGCTGCCACAGTGCCGAGTTTGGTGCCATGAAGACATTCAGTGTACGGGAGGCGCGATCTGAAACCAAGGACAGAGACATAGATGGGCTGTACTAACATCAGGCTTTCTATCTGACTTTATGTCTTAGTATGCAGTACATGAAAAGATTTAAGTCTTCTTGCTGTCTTAAAATTGTACTATCTCTACCTCRGTACTGTTAAAAGCCAGCACTTTGCAAAGCCACAAATAGATTTTGGTCGGAACGCTAGAGCCCACGTAGCTGAGTGCCGGAGAGGATGGGGGAAKGAGGGTTATGTAGAGCTGAGTCAGTGAAAAACAGATTAAACTGTGTGTGCTGGGTCTGTCAAACTTCAGTTACACCATCAATATTTGGAACAATTCACAATGAACCAGAACTTGAAGAAGGCTGTAAATAAAGCAGGCTCGCAAGGTCTTGCTGGTCATACACTCGAGAAAAGTCTATGACCAGCAAGGTACAGGCCATAGAAAGGCAGGCTCTAGCTAAAAGGATTAAAAGCACATGTTGTTCCTATATATATACAGCATTAATCCTGTCTAATGATAGCATTGCACAGGCTGGACAATGACACAACGAAGCGATAGTCTTGGTAACTTATCTGCAATGTTACAAGGGTAGATTGTCCTCAGCAAGGAGAGAGCCTTGTGTCTGCTCACAGAAACTGGGGACGCTTTAATTGGCGTTTGTCTTGTCGGTGTCCTCTACTGTCTGGATGTTCCTGCTTGCTGCAAACACAGCCAGGGTCTAGGCTGGCTTTAGGAGCAGCTTAAATTCAGGCAGGCAAGCCCGTGAAGTGGCGCTGTGTTACCCTAATGTAGGGAAAGGATCAGATCTAACAAGTTTTGAGAAGTAAATTAGAGTTATTAAACATGTTGTGTCTTGAAAGTAGGAAGAAATGAGTACGGCTTGGAGACACTTGGTTGAAAATTGGATTCTGAAGTTCAGTGTTAGCTTAATGACAGCTTTAAGCACACCAAGACTGCCAAATTTACAGAGATTCAGGGAAATTAATTTGGTGGGCAGGGAGGAAGAACTTGGATTCAGCGCAACCTGCAGACTACTCTCTCACTTAGGTTTTGTCAGCAGAGGTTATGTCGGGCGGGGGGGGGGTCACAAGTCATGCAGGGAGAACTTAAGCCTCCAGCCTTAAAGAAAATAAGCACCAAGTTCAGGACCCCCCTCTAATCTGGGGATTCAACAGATGCCACTTTTCTGCCACTGGTCAAATAAATTTCTTATGCTACAAAGTATTGCTTTCAAAAATTAATCCAGACTGTTTCAAAACATGTAAGCCTCTTTAGAACTAGCTAAGACCAGGCTTACATTTCTAGCTCTACAACAGGACAACAGAATCCTTACAAAGAATTAATCTAAATATTGCTATATATGTATGGCAGAAATTTTGCAGGAAATAAATCGTCCCAGAGTTGTATGTAAAAGACATTCTTGTCCTATAGTGTTAAAGAAATCCCAAACCAAACCAAGTCTATTTGCTCTTCAAACTTAACCATGCTTATAAAAGAACACATTTCACTTCTAAGACTTAAAACTATCATTTAATTATAAAGGACTAATCTATTAACAAAAATTATCAGTCTATTTGCATTTAACACAACCTTTGTTGTGACATAAAGCATCCATTAAGCAAAATCAGGTGAATGACTTAGCAGGATTTTGTGCCCTGTACATTCAAGATGACCTTTGCATGGCTGCATTATGATTAGCAGTGGATTCAGTACAATCATAGCACACGAAGAATGATATCCTGCTTCCAAAAAAATATGGAAAACAGCTACTGAAGAAAAATGTCACCATTACGATGTACCTGCTGAACACAGCTCAAGAAACTGATCCAAGAATATACCTAGAGAACTTCCATAGAATTGTGGAATTATTGAACAGTTTAATGCAGGAATCAGGCTCAGATTGTATAAAATAAACTTTCAATCTCAGTATCTTCTTTCTTCTTTTTCCTCTGAGCTTGCTTGATCAGCTTTCCAGGACAAGTGAAGACCCATTCTTGCTTTAAGGCACAAGAGMTTGTTTCACAGTGTTAGGAATACGACTTGCATAATAATCATAGTTCCTCAAAGCGGCAAGAACCCCAGCTGAATTCATGTGTTTCACTTCTTTGTTATAATGGAATGAATTGCCATGGATATCAGTTATCTTGCCTGTAAAAAAAGAAAACATTTTATTCCACCAAATAAGATTTGGAGGCAGATAAGCTGCTACTGCAAGTGATGTAACTAAAAAACACAGAAGGGCTTTGGGTGGCTACAGGCAGCTGTCTTCATGTRTAAAATACATTTTCTGCTCCCTTAAGCACAACAGCCTTTCTTTGTTAAAATGAAACAACTTAGGACTTTCTTTTTTTTAAGCAATATTTAAATTCCTCCTGTTTTAGGAAAGAAAAATGGCCTGTATCTCTTACGGGCTAACTAAAATTCTTCCTGTGACTTTTGCACACTGGCAATTGAGAAGAAGGAAAGGAAAGCACAGTCCTCAGTTCAAGTAAAAGCCACCATGAGGTAAAAATACAACAGCTGATTTTAAATGAGTTTCTAGATACCACCTAAAAAGGGAGCAACAGAAATTGTTATGGAAGCTAATTTAACCAAGAGGTACCTATATAATGAAGGGGCTAAATAAAGCACTGGGCTGCCCCAGATAGGCTGCTTCTCGTGCCTGGGCTAACCCGTTTAAAGTTATCCCAGTTATCAGCACTATACTGTATACTGTAGTATACTATAGTATAGTGTTGATAACTAAAGATAAATCTGTAGTTAGAGGAGATAGATAAATCACACCAAGTCCATTATGTTTGCTTGACAGAAATCAGGAGTTATTAATACAACTTCATTTTAGTTGGTGTGCAAGATCTGTCAACCTGAGCAGCAAAAAAAGTATGATAATCATCTAATTCTTATTCATCAGGCTTTTCATATCTTTTCTAACCCCTCAATTCCCAGAYTGAGTGGTTTATGCTGGCTGGAAACCACTCATTTTACTCTACTATAGAAATGACTCAATTTTTGAGTTGACACATCTGAGCAATCACTGCACAGTTTGGCCTGTTTTGTGCTTTGAAAAATACAGTGCCCACGTGTTGTTACACGTTAATATGTTTATTAAAAATGAGCTCCTACATCCAGTTAATAAGACAATATAATTTTAATATAAAATAGCACCCAATGAAAAAAAGAAGCCATGAGCATGAAAATATCAATGTCTTAAAAAATTTGCAATTTGGCCTCTTTTTTATTATTAGTATTATTATTAGACAGTTACTAATGATATTACTCCAGGGCAAAAGAGATTATATAATGCTTTCCAGGGCCTAATTTTCTGTCCCTCTGGAGTTACTGCTGATCTCAAGGGACTCAAGGGCCCTAGCATATCATGATTAATAAAAGTCTAATTTCCTTCCAAAGACATTTTATGAAAAACTTTTCACAAAAGATATTAAGAACCTTAAATTGTTAGTTTCACTCATGTTAAATATATATTTTTCTATATATATACATTTATTTTTATATATATATATTTGAATACATATATTTTTTATATATATACACATATATATTATTTACCTCCCACAGCATGTAGAATAGCTTCAGGTGCACATGTATCCCACTTCTTGCACCCAGGACTGGCAAATACATAAGCAGATGCTTTGCCTTCTATAAGCTGGATGATCTGTTGTCAATAGAGAGTAGTTATCATTGCAAAGCACATAGGCATTCAGCAGTGGAGAAAAAAAATATTAGGAACAGTGATTAGATCAGTATACTCTATATACGTGTATTGTTAGAAAAGGAGCATCAACCACCTTCCCTCTAGATTATTGAAAACAAAAAGTCCTACCAAGATTTTTAAAACTATGATCTATTTTAGATTGTTACAAATACAGTCTATATGATGAGAATCTACTCTTAATTTCAAAGATAATATTTTGCATCTTGAAGTATTAAGTAAATTAAAGTGGAAGCTATCTTCATGTTGTATTGCAGTCAATATGGCCCTTATATATGCTGGGAAAAAASACGGTTTGGAGGCTCTGTTTTTCCTACATGCAGAAACATGATAAAACTAAGCTCCACATTCTGTAGCAAAAGAGTAATCCCTGGATACTGAGAAGGTCTGCAAAAGAAATGCCACTGTGGGCTGGTTCTATTTCTGTCCTTTAATATCTACTGCTAGTGAGAGCAAAAGACCAATTAACCTGAACAGCAGGAAAASTCTAATAATGGTGATTAAATTCAACTTCCACTTAGTCATTCTGGGCTTTTAATTTTTTCCTTTTCCCCGACCCAGAGTGTACTAGAGAAAAGAACCAGAGCTATGACCAGAATGGCCATTCTTAGATACATTAAGGAAATTCCAACTACCTTAGAGCAGAGCAAGTGCTAGTAAGAGAATCTGCACTACAGGAAGAAGTCCCCTGACCATTCACACAGGTAAACATTTCTCTCAAAATTCTTCATTCCTTTTCCCAAGATACTGCCTCCAACCAAAAGAAGTTATGAAGTTCTCATACCTTGTTTCCTGCTCCTCCAACTCTGATGACAGTGTCTGGGTTCAGGGCAGTAATGCAGTCATTTACCAGGGCACTGCTGTGAGAACGGGTGGTAACAATGATGTGCTTCCCGGCTGGTGCCTCTGTGAGCTCAAAGCCGAAGGCACCCATGCCCAGCACTCCCCAGATCGTCCTACCCAGGACAGCATCGGCTCCTGCCTACGTAGGAGGGAAAGAGGCAGTGGCCAGCGTTTAGTTAAAGCATGAACGTAAAGGAATAGCAGGAGACATCTTTGCATCTTAGGGAGTATAATATTAACACYGAGATGTGCATTTCAACAGTGTCACTTAAAAAAGAAGCATTCTAAAGTGCAGAGTGAAAAATCAAGACACTTTGGCTCTTTCCCTCTAAAATAATGACTTGAAAAACCTCCAGTAGATCATTTACTGGTTTTCATCTGTGAAACTGTAGTGATRCATTACTTCCTGCCCCCAATGATTGTGCCAAATTAATGTCAGCACATTTCTCTACTTCAGGCACAATTTTTAACTGAAAATACCTTCATTGCCATTGCTGTGTGTTTCATCATGCACGCCACATGGAACATGTAGCATCAGCTCATAATGAGCTTTACATTGCATCATCCTACAGTACAAAAGCACTGACCTGCAAGTGTTTCACAAAGTGACACTGTTTTGCACACACTGTACTATTACACAAGCCTTGGGACTCACTAGGACTGCTAGTAGGTCCTTGATGCTCAGTTTCTGGAAAGCAATTTTCAAAATTGTATACATATAACAACAACTATCCTTACATTACAAATCCAAAACACACCGCTTTTCAGCTAGAAGTGTTCCAACTAGAAATGTCTTAGAAGTGGCAGTTTCAAATCACCTAATGCTCTCAAGCAGATCAGTGCATTTAATACCTCATAGTTGTAATACGGCTGGTTGATAACTCCTGCTATTGCTTTGCCTCCATAAGCAATTCCAATAAGCACTGTTACATGGTCAAGGAGACCTGTACAGAAACAGTACAAAATTAATTATGTTTGAAAATGAGAAACTAGATAGTTTAAAAAAAAAGGGGGGGAGGAGGGGGATATGGAAGGTCTTAAAATGCAATTACCAATCAGGATTTTCAGATTTAGCAGGTGTAACACATTGCTTGCTTTTAGTCATTTTGCTTGGCAAAAATTATTCATTTATGCTCTTCCAAAAAATAAAATGTCCTGAGTAGTTCTTATTAAAAGAATTCAAGCTACATTGTAATGAAYGTGTAATAAAAATGAAATTCAAAGATACAACTAAATGGTAATAAATGGATGACATTCTAGTAAATTGGGGCTTGAAATCATTTGTGGTACCCAAAAACAAGTAATGCAGTGGCAGCTGTACAATCACTCTTGCTCTGAAAAAAGAACAAAAAAACAAACCAAAAAACACACTGTGATGCAAGATGCAACAAGATGCTGAAGCAMGCTTTGGCATGCCAGTTTGTCTATGGACACAAATCAGGCCTTGCTGAAAATGGTTTCTTTCTATGACCAAAGAATTACTATTTTAGGGGAATATTTTGTCTATTTTAAAAGGGCCAGCTACAGAATTTAGGTTGTTTGAGATGGGGATGTAAATATTTGCACATTCCCATGCACAGAGAAGATTTAACTCCCCAATAAAAAGTATATACAAAATAGTAAATTTATTTTCCTAAAAAYTTTTAAAGGCATCCTGCTAGCAATCAAAGACAGCAAGTATTTTCTCCTACAGGGAAAGGCTGAAGACCTTCTGTTCCCTGAAACAATAAAACTGGTGAGCACTCAGCAGCTCTTCAGAATATTCACTACTGGTAACAAAACAAAAGTATTAAAAAAAAAAAAAAAAAGTACAGAACTTGAAGTACACAAGCAACATCAGCCTTATCAAAAATATAGTATTTAGCTTCTATCATCTATAAAACCATCTACACATCCATGCCCCTTCACTAATCAGAAYTAAAAGAGAAACCAACCTTCAGTGTACTCTTTGGTCCCATCCAGAGGGTCAACCCATATTACAAGCTACAAGAAGGAATCACATGAAAAAATGCAAATCATACAAAATAACATGCAAAAGAGGTTTTTTAAACACTTGTGAATAATGAAAAAAAGACTTTTTTTTTTTTTTTTTAGTATTATGGTATACAATACTGAAGCCTACATTAATGTTTTACATTAAATAAAAATGCATAAATTGAGTAGAACTTGTCAGTAAATAGCAGAGATAAAGGCTTCAGTTAAACATGGAAATGGCATTACTTTCTAACAGCAAAACTCGTTCCTTACAGATGCATTTGAATCTCAAAGGAATTAGATTTCCCTTTCCCTAAATGCACACAGCATTTCCAGCTTTGGGGCTGTGATTCTCATGACTACATTTTAGTTTTAAAGGCAAAAAGAGAAACTGTCAACACTGAAATAAGTTCTTTTTCTCCTTAATACTTTTAGTTAAAATCAGTAAGTAATATTGAGATGAGGGTAAAAATACAAAGACATGTAACATCACCTCTTCCTCTTTAATTCCTGTGTACTGCGGCGGACAAGGTTTCTTCAGTATTTCCTCACAGTGGCCGTCTTCAATCAATTCYTCAGCTACATCATGGGGGGGCAGTTCCTAACAAAAAGATGCTCCAAATCATTAGAAAAAGGTGCTGGGCTGCACCTCAACTTGCTGGAGAAATGTGGATTTGCTTGCAGTTCACTTGACAAAGCTAAGCAATGAAAAGRTGATTGGGATGGAAAGAAAACTTAAAGAAAGAGAGATAGTTTCCTAAAACGTGCCAATGCGGGTGTAAGGCAATGTATAGSAAGCCACATTGTAAGTATGACATAGATTAGGTCCTTACCTCTTCTCCTATGATGGTCACTTTGGGGAACTTCCGTGCCAGTGATGCACAAATGCTCATTTGTACCATTCGATCAGCTTTGGTCTGCAGGTCATTGGCTCCAGTCTGGCAAAGGAAGGATAGGAATTTTGAAAGACATTTTGAAATTGGCATGGAAATATCTGTTCTCATGTTCCCAGGGCAAAGATGTAAAAATTGCAACATGAAAAAAACCAAGGATGTTTAAGGCCAAGAGATACAGTGCAGGATTTAAAAGTCCAACTAATCTAGCTTTTTAAAAGGAATGGAAACAATTATGATGTATAAACTGTTCCTTGCTCTAGCAAAAAAGACTTCAGAATGTCAGAAGTTAAGCAGAGAAATTACACTACACTGCACCTCCTACACATTTTTTCCAGAAAAAATACTCTAGAGGAAACCATGGATTTGCTATAGCAACATTACTTGAAAMAATGGCTAAAGTACATCTTTAGAAAGGCTATTAAAGTTGCTAAAGAAAACTTCCTTATGCATTTAAAATTAACTGGTTAATCAAGATAGTTACAGTGTTTCCTTTTGGGCCTGTAGACAAAAGTACTTTAAATAATAATACAACTACCTTACAAGATTTTCCTAACTTAAAAGCAGGGGAACCAAGAGAATCTGGTCTCTTCAGATGCTTCTGAGAATCCTGCTATGCTTTTGAAAACACAGATCATTACCCTGAAAGTCTTTTCAATTCTGTTTCCCACATGGATAATTGTATTTGCTTAGAAAAAATAAGGGAAAAAACCCCAGTGCCACTGATCACAATCCTCTGAGCTCTGCCATTCAATCACTTCTCAATCCACCTCATTAAAGTACTAACTATTTGAAAAATGTAAACATCAGTAATTACTTCAAAAATACTGAAAACAATATAGAGGTCTAAGGTAGTCCATAAAACTATGATATACCTATAAAACATGAATTAACCCTCCAAATTTATTTCACTAGTATTGTAGTCAAAACCAAGAACCTGAATCATCACAGCAGCGTAATAACTTATAGTAAATTAACAATTTAATGCAGATGGTTGCAGGCTCATTTCTATTTCATAATTAGAAATAAATAGAAAGGTTCAGATTAAAGCTGAAAAGCCTAATTTGCAGTAAAATCTATGGTTTATCATTAAGGTTTATTACTATAGGGTCTATTTAAGAAACAAAACAGAAATTAGTCTTATTCCAAAATGAATAAGGCATACAGTACTAAATGCTACACTATAGCTATTAGAATAYAAGTATGGAGATTCACTGGAAATATATAGATTATGAATTCTGACATTCTATCCAAAATCTGTGTTTTATGAAGGGAATCAAGACAAAATTATGGTGTATTCTTTTGGGGAATCAAGACAGAATTACAGTGCGTTCCTTTCAGTRTTTGAATATCTTTTAGAAATATGGGCCAAAATACATTACTTCTACTATGCCTTTATATCCTTTAATGAGGAGTATTCCCTACATCAAGGGCGTAAGGTTGAGCACCTTGATTTGATTCTTTTTCTTTCCCCAGTTGCAGAAGAACAGTCTAGTCTTCAAAAATACCTCCTGGACCTGTATTTAACTCAGCATTAGTAAATGAAATGGGAACAGGATAAAACAAATACCTTTTCCACTATCCCCAGATCTCCTGTAGACATTACATTTCTAACAATTCTTGCAGCTTTTTCTGCAACAGAATACGCAGAGGCCACCACTCGCATGAGCAGAGTTGGAGAAGAAGCCATCCTGATTGCTGAAAACAAACATAAAGCAAACATCGACTTTAGAAAGGGCAGGAAGGGAAACATCTTACATAAATAACATTCCAAGCACATATATGTTATTTATTTAAGCTGAATAGAAAGAGAATAGTGAATTACTGCACATCAGCAGTAATAAAATAAGCTGTGATTTAAATATATATAAAAAACTAAATAATAAAACAAAACTAGGAGGTTATTTCAAACAAGAGTTTCACATATTTGTGCTCTGGCAGTTAACCTGCTTTACATCACTAAATTAAACTGGTGTTAAAGAAAAACAGCAGCAGCAGGAAACATCATCATCATCATAAAAGTTAAGAAAAAAGAATATAGTGGATTGTGCATGTATTAAATTCTTTTTTTTTTTATCCTGAACTGAATCTACAGAGTTGGTTTCTGTTCAGATTCAAATACAAAGCTAGGAGAAAACATGACAAAAGCAGCTTCACTTTGTTTTTAAATGAATAAAATGGGCTTTCGTAGATAGGCTGATAATCTGCAGATACTACAAACACTACACTTGTATGTGCAAGTCCATCTCCATTCTACCATCTTTTCTAAACTTCTTTAAACTTCTCTTGATTTGTTGATAGAAACCTAATTACATTCCCCTGCTCTACTCAACACTGTATATATCCTGTATTTCTTCCAATTGTATTTTGTTCTACATCTGCTCCTCAGAACATTTTAGTGTAGTTTACTATGTTTTTAATTCTCAAATAAAAGAATACCTCTTTCAAAACACCAATAATTCTCCATTCCTGCCGCCTTTCTTTGATCTCAACAGAATTATTCACAACTCCTCTCTATTTTTTGAAATGCAGAGCTACTGTTTTTTTTTTTTTTTGTTTTCCTGTCCTTTTTTGGTTTTGTTTTGTTTTTTTAAATCTATGCAGACTGCCTTATCAACTGTACTTCAAAGTAATTACTTGAGCACATAGCTAGGAAAAAAAAAAAAAGAAACCATTAATCAGTGGATCAAGGATGATATATTCCCTCGTAGTTACCCAGTATTTGAGCAATTGCAGCAAGTATTGCAAAAGCAGCAGTCGGTCATTATACAATAACCGCTCCTTTATTGCTCAAGAAATCTACTCAATATAGGAAAGCATCATATAATGAGGTGATTAAGTCTAGCTACCGTAGATGGTGTTAAGGCAACATCAAGTTAATGATTGCTTAAATTTAAATAGCAATGCTGCAGGCATCAGAATCCCAAACTTTGGTGATTTAACCACCTTTTCTAACATTTTTTGGAAACCCTGCACAAGCATCTCYGGAAGTCAGAAGAGCTCGGAAGCCAAAAGAGCAGGTTGACTGTATAAGTACATTTAAAAGCACAGCTGCTAAGTGCTAGTGTCAGTCATGTTTCACTGCTCGTGGACGGGAGCAAAGGGCTCCGGAGCCCTGTAAAGCAGCCAAGGTCCAGGCCCAGAGCACACGCACTTGATTCTGCATAGACAGCAAGGGGTACAGCAGAAATTTTGAAAACAGTATCTGTGGCAAAAAGCAGCTCTTAAAATAACTGGAAGTAGGAGAGCACATTAAAAAAAAAAAACTACTTTTCAAATAAATTGATAAATTGGAGTTCTCCGATTCTTGTTACGTATTGTAGGTGTGAGATCTGTTTAAAAGCTATAGAATGGCTGCTATTAATCTCCCAGAACAGGCGTGAGGGACCTGCTGATGCTGACATGGGACTGCCTTTATTTCCAGCCATCATTCACACCATCGGCCCCACGCTCTGAGACACGGAGCTACGGAGCAACCTCTGCCCCGCGTTACCGGGTGCGTGAGGGACCAGAGCCCCTGTCTCCCCGCGGCCAGCCGGGGCTCCCGCCTCCCCGCGGCCAGCCGGGGCTCCCGC